TAAAATTTCTCATTCAACAGCTGTGTTGGATTTTGTAGCCTTCAAAGATAGGTCCTATTTATATGTTAGGTGTTGGGTGGGTGACACACAGGCATGCATGCAAGAGAAAGAGAGATATATTGATACATTATACCTCTTTTTATATAGCTAGTTTACTAACAAAATAAACATTTTACAGCCTACAGCAGAGTCTAAAGCTTTACTAGTTAGGGAGCCATGTTTGTTCCAGTTACTTTTAGAAGTGAAAATGAATTGTGATCGTTACTTTAAGATTAGCCTAACTGTTTGGGGCCAGAACAATGGTTCAGCTGTTAGGAGCACCTGCTGCTCTTCCAGAGGACCCAGGTTCGATTCCCAGCGCCCATGTGGTGGATCCCCACTATCTGTAACTCCAGTTCCTGTGATCCAGTGGCCTTTTCTGACCTCTATGAGCAACACACACAAATGGTGCACAGACATAAATATAAATACAACACTCACACACATAAAACAAATAAACCTGAAAAATAGCATAACTACAAATAAATAATTCAGCTGACAGTTCTCAAATTTCAGCATGTTTGAGAATCACTCATTCACTCCGTGATTTCTGCCTCCTAGGGTGGTATAGTCACTCAGTAGGTTTAGGTGGAATTCATTTTTATAAGATAACTCTAACTGACATTAGTGTGGATCAACCCTGTATTACTGCTAAAGACAACCCATTCTGCAAAGAGTTTACTCTTCCCCTGTCTGGCTTGAAGTCCAATACTTCATGTCAAGCTAGAGCGGTGTGGGTTTGGAGAGGCTTCGCTAAATCTCATGACTGGTGTTCAGAGTATGGTGAACTCTGATTCCCAAACCCCAAAACTTAAACCTGCATACTACTACTCCCAAATAGTGTGGATGGAGGCAGAGCACATAGGAAGGGATAACAGTGATGGAAGTGCTGTCACCTCAGACTTCCCTAGCTTCGTTTCTGAGGCTGAACCAATGCAGTCACATCTTTCCAGCCCATAGAAGATTACGTACAGACAGAGGAAAGTACTAAAGTACAGCTCAGACCAGAGGGGCAAGCCAGGCCTGTGTGTTTAACAATCTTCTCCCTTTAGGAGCCCAAAGTCACCCAGGTGTGAGAGAAGAGGAAGGACTGGGTGAAGGGATGACTAACTCTAGTCCATGGATCATCATTGGGTTTGGAAGCTAAAGATGTTCGAGCTTCCTGGAGAGTGGAGATCCTGGCTCTCACTCTGGGTTCTGTGAACTGAACTACATGTGTGTGGAGGCACAAGAGAAGATCCCACACACTCGGCAGCTGAAGATACACGTGTTCTTTTTTGAGCTGAGCAAAATGGTTATATAATTGCTTCCTTCTCATAATTATTGAGTAATTATATACTTCTTATAATTGCTCAGTAATCATTGTTCTATAGCTAGAAACTAACATTACAACTAATTGTATAATTACCATGTATTAATGTTGTTATATGGCAAACTTAGAATAAAGTGGTACTTAATATATTTCTCTCTGCCATGCCACTTTCAGAGCTACTGACAGGGTCTCCTTTACAGCTTAAAAATTGCTTCCAACACAAATAAACAAAGCAAATGAGGGAGGACACCTTCTCCCGTGTTCCGAGCATAGACACTTACTCTTGTACTCACACCTGGCTAGAAATAGGTGAAATTATGCTCTTGTGACATAACTGTAGAATTTTGTTGGTGTTTTACAGTTTCAAATCCCTTATAAGATGTGCAAATTACACAACTCCGTTGCCAGATGAGTATTTGTCTGGGTCTCTGTAGGGTAAGGTGACCATTTTGGAATAATCCGTGTGGTTTCGGCCATAGGTAAAAATGCTTCCAAAGAGCTGGGCATCCTGGGACCTGGGAATGTGTCAATGCTGATCAAGTGTTTGCCATGAGACAGTGCTCAGAAATGGCCTGCATCTCCTCTTAGACTTCTCGGTGCAGGGGTCACACTTTATGCTTCTGGGGTGTCATCTCATGGGCACCAGGATCTCCTTTTGTACAGTTGGCACTCAGTAGTCTCCTCATGTACAACTGTGACTCATAGCTAACCACGGAGAGCCTCCAGATGCCAAAATGGCGCACTGAAGAAGTAACTTAAATGTAGTAAAAACCCTTAAAATTCAGAACAGTATAATCACAACATTGCATGTATGGCAGGACACAGTTCTTTTTCCATTTCAGACTTGGCATCACTCCATAAACTTGGAAAATCCCTTACTGAAAATGCCAACTCTGCTTCCCTTGGTTCTAGTCCTTTGACGCTTTATTCTCTCGGGAATAACCATCCCTTTGGCTCTACCAATTTCAAGGCCAAAATGACAAGTTATTGTGTGGTATTTGGGATTCCTTGTGGCCACAGAAAACATTTAACTGTGCATGCTTTGCCACAATAAAAGTTTCAGCTACTTCCTTCAGCCTGAAACTATCATAAATATTTATTAGTCTTTTAATATTTTTTTACGTTTAGTTGTATCTGTCTCACCAATGTTTCATGAAACGGCCACACCCTAACCAGATAGCAGACTCCTGTTAGATTTAGAATTTGGAATAGTACCTGATGGGAAAGTGACACTATGTGGTGAGATTTGAGTTGGTCGCTCAACTGAACAACCATGGATTTTGATAATTAGCATATAGGAACAGCCACTGAGAAAACAGCATGCTGGGTGCTTACATCTTAACCACTTCCCAGTGCTCACTGTTTCTACAAATTGTATGGATCACAGCAAAAAACGGTAGCAGTCCTTATTGTTTTCTCATTGTAATGAGGGAGCTGGGTAGGTTTGTTCACAGGCAGTGAACCGACCTGTCTACACTAGGCCACATACGAAATGCTTTTAGGTCTGCGCTGTTACATGCAGATCATGCTCAAACGTCCAAGAACCTCAAGTAAGAGGTGTGTTTGAGCAGATACGTTATGCTGCGTGCAGGAAAGAAAGATCTCACTCAGCTTTCATGGTGGCTCGTCACCTCAAGCCCACAGATGAAGAGCTGGATACTCAGAAACACTGGGCATCTCGGGAGACGACACTTTACTCACAGCTGGTCGTCCAGGCCACTCCAACAGCTAGAAGATATTCTTTGCTTTGCACACTAAACTGTGAGAATAGATTTTTATAAATATCTAATGTTTATCTGTGGCCATTTCTTGAAACATTGGTGGGACAGATAAGACTAAACATACACCAAAAATCTTTTGAATTATTCATTAACATTTATAATAATTTCAGGCTGAAGGAAGGAGCTGAAACTTCTATTGACAAAGTATTCATAGTTAAGTGTCCTCTGCCGCCACAAGGAATCCCAAACACCACACAATAATTTGTCATTTTTGTCTTGAAGTTGGTACAGTCAAAGTTTACTCCAGAGAGAATAAAGAGCGTCAATGGACTAGAACACCAGGAATAAATAGATGCTATTTATTTTTCATAAGGAAATATTCCAAGTTCATGGCATGACATCAAGTCCAAAATGGAAAAAGGAACTGTGTCCTGACATAATGCAATATAGTGATCAGAGTGTTCTGAATTTTAAGGGTTTCACTACAATTTTTTCACTGTACAGTGTAAGAGCACTTGTATCATGTGACCGTCCTATATATGTTAATCAGATATTATGTTGCTTTTTCTAGGTCTTGCAAACATGCTTGTTTCCCCTCTCTAGTTGTTTTTACTCATTTTTCTGAAAATTAGTTAAACAAATGCATAACATTTTCACAAGGGAAGGAAATCTGTTTGTTGTAAATAACGTCATTTAAATGGTTTCCTATCTTGTATTTTTAAAGAGTAAGTAACACACTCCTATATTTGACTAAAATGAAACAATATTTTTAAAACAATATCTCCCCATGTACACTTTAAAAGTATTATTATAGAATGTAAATAAATGTCATAATTTTAAACTAACTCTGTTCTTATTTTAGCTCTAATGTTTTCAGCTCTCTTTTAACAAAAAAAACTAATGCTATGCAGAATCTTAGAAGAGAGGAGACATTATTACTAGGGTGCAGTGTTTCTCCATACCATTCACAGACTGAGATTTTGAGGCTAAGTTTGCTGGAGATTTTGGAGGACGGGATGGTGGAACACGGCTAAGGGAAGCCATTGCTTCATGTAGCCAGGCAGCTCTGCATCTTCCAAGGAAGCTGGACACAGACTCTAGTCCAAATGGACACATCTTACTGATCATCAAAGGCAACTGCTTTAGGACATTCTGGCCAATACCAGTTTAAAAGGCATGAAGTAAAAAGAGGCCAGGCTAGCTCTGAAGCAAGATGAGCAGAAGATGACACAGTTCAGAGCATGCTCTTTAGAGTCAGAACCATTTTCTTGGGAGATAGTACTTCTTCCTCTGTATTAAAGAAAACTCAAAGCCAGGCACAGTGGTGCACGCCTGTAACCCCAGCATTCGGGGAGGCAGAGGCGGATGGATCTCTGTGAGTTCGAGGCCAGCCTGGTCTACAAAGTGAGTCTAAGACAGCCAAGGCTACACAGAGAAATCCTATCTTGCAAAAAGGAATGAAAGAAAGTGAGAGAGAAAGAAAGAGAAAGAGAGAGAGAGAGGAAGGAAGGAAGGAAGGAAGGAAGGAAGGAAGGAAGGAAGGAAGGAAGGAAGGAAG